GGCGTTTAATAAATAGGTAGGTACGTCCTCGACGAACGTTTTGCGTAACAGGCTTCGCGATATCGAGCGAGACACTGTCACGCTGCTACGCCCCTCTGTACCTAGGCTGGCGAGGACCATTCAGTTTGTGATTTTAATAACAATAATATATGTGTTATTTTTAAAAGCCAGGCCTCTTCCTCACGCCATTCTCGAAATATCGATACATTCACACCTAGAAAAACTCTTTGGCCACTGGAGTGTAGTGCGCTTTGCTGCGCTCAGCCAATGAAAGTTGAAAACAAGCTCACTAGGAGCTACGTTTAAAGGGAGTCAGAAATGGCTCAGCCGCAGTCAGACAGAAACGGTAAAAGCAAACTCTTTCAAAGGCTCACCACAAATACAAGTAGAAGCGGCGACATGGCGAATCTTGGCACGGTCATCTTGAGGACACCAAGACCACAGACTGACACATACACAAACACACACAGACACACACACACTTGTTACTCCAGAGAGGTTAATCCAAAAGTGGCGGTGAGGGCGGCACAGGCAGGCAGACGACGCGACTCGACGCGACACGACACGACTCGGCACGGCTGCGGCGTGCCGGTGGGCTGGGGCGGGACTAGCGCTCCGCTCTGCTCCAACACGCTCTGAGCACTGCAGACTGAGGCCCGGCCGGGCCGGGCGGCCCGGCCCGCCGCAGCGCAGCGGGGGACGCGCGGCCAGAGCCGCCGGGCCCGGCGGGAGGGACGGGAGCTTCGGGGGCTTCGGCCAGCAAGCCACCGGGGAATCATTTTAGGGACAAGAACAAAACACACGCTTTACAACAAACTGGATCGCAAAGCCGACCACGGGCTCTGCTCCCGGGCCGATCTGGAGATCGCCAACTAGGAGGGGGCGGCGGGATGAGAAACTTGGGCTGCGTTTCGGGCGCGCTTGCTTCCGGCCTTGTTCCGGCCGCACATCGCTCTCGGTGTGGTGGACGCTACTCATTTCTCACATTGTTAAAATCTTTTCCGGGGAGCACAGAGCAAGAGCCAAGGTGGCGGCCTCAGTTTCAGACGCCTGAGACCGCCACTCACTCGGGGCAAGTTTCCCTGCGGGACGACGGCGGCGCGCGCGGCGACGGCAGCCAAAAGTAGGTACACTCCACTCAGCACCACCTTGGTGCGCACACCACCTATATGGGGTACCGCGTAAGCTATTGCAATGAATCTGTTACTTCAGAAAAA